GAGGGACAAATATGCCTCAACATATGATCTCTATATACTGTTGTTGCGCTCTAGCCCCATCTAGTGGCCAGAGAGACAAAATACCAAGTATATTGTTTGAAGCTGACCCAACCCATTTTACCCATCAGCCCACACTCTCAAACAAAAGCCAGACTCCATTTCCTTTAGCATTTGGAGAAGGCAGAAGCACAAGGAAGCATCCATCTTAATCTGTGGCACGTGGTCATCCAAGGACAAACCGACATCCCACACGGAGCATCGCTGGTGAGATTTAAATCGCTTGTAATAATGTTTATGTTCAGCAGTGACTAAATACTGTCTGTCTTGTATTCTGTTCTTGTTGTATGTATCCCTATTTTCCCCAGTTTCACCATAACCTGTTCTTTCAATAAAGCATTCAGATCTACGCGCACAGTCTGTTTTATTGGAGGATAGGTGGGTTTAGCTGCCTGTTGAGCTGCACACAGACTAACGTGTAGTAGGGACAGAACAGATTCACTTCAATCAGGGGTGTCAAACTCAATGTCATTGAGGACTGTATTGGCATTGTGGTTGTCCTTGGGGGGGGGCATGGTGGGGGTGGAAGGGCGTGGTTGGGATGATCACAGTTGACTGGACATGGCCCATGGACATGGCCCATGGGCATGGCCAGCTCAATGTCATTCGGGGGGCACCTGTGGGGTCTGGGCGGGGTTGGGGAGGGAATCCAGGGTCTGCGGCAGATGGGGCAGTGAGCAGGAGGCTCGTCACACAGGATGAGGTGAGTGTCAACTCATTAAATATTTCTATGGTCTTTTTAGAGTTGCCAACAGAAAGGGAGGGGGGAAAGGGGTTTTGAAAGAGCAGTGCGGCAACTTGGAAATCGAAAGTGCATTCCATTAAGTTTTACAAAGATAGTAACTAAGCGACCAAAGTTTCTGCCGCGCAAATATCTAACCGGAGAGCATGATTGATGACTCTGGGCTATGGAGGTGTCCCATTGGAGGATATGAATTACAATACACCCAGGGGGTGGGAGGGAAACCAGGGTGAAGGGTGACAATGAGTGATGTGTCTCAGAGTCGGCTACACCCAGGCAGTGCCGGACATGTTAACTCCCAATTAAGCCTTTTGAAGTTTTGGACGTTTGGCTCGAGACTCATGATTTAAATGGGGGCAACTGCCAGAATCCTGACAGCGAGGTGAGACGAGGCAAGGGCTGGGGTGGCTGCTGCTGGAACCCGTCAGCCATCGCACGCTCGACGGCCTTTGTGTGCAGGGGGCGATGGTTTCTGGCAGCAGCTGCAGCCTGCCAGCCCCTCTACTGGCGCACTCTGCGGCTCTGGAGCCAGCTCCTCTGGGCTGGCTGTCCAAGCAGCAGGCATGGCTGCAGCATCAGCAACAGGCAGCGGGGAGGCACGTGATATGGATCACTGGACGAGATGCTGTGCTTGTCAGATGGAAAGCCAGGAGTCCAGGTTCGAGACCCGAGTGTCATGCGACTGGGTGAGTTCCCGTCCTCATCCCAAGTCACAGTGTTGTGGTTCACCGGCAGCCTCTGCAGACGGCAGCAGAATCGGACAGTGGGGAAGACAGGGGACCAGTCCGGGAACCTGGAGAGGACTCGGATGAAGGTCCTGCATCCAATGCAGAGATGGGGCCAGGACCATCTGGGAGTGGGGTGGTGCCTCCGGAGCCTCTGGAGTCTGGCAGCAGCGAGGCCGAGGAACAAGGGGAGCCTGTTCCCAGTGCGTGTGTGCGCAGAGCTGCTAGAAGGCAAGAGCAGCTGAGACAAAAGGGGCAACTTGGGAGCAAGGCTTGGAGGTGATTGCCCCTCCCATAAGTTATAAAGGACAGGCAAAGGTGACGAAACCCTTGCAGGAAGCAAAGTCGTTCGATCGGTTCAGACTCCTTCTTGAAGCTCTTTGTACTTCGGTTGGTTTTTGTTCTAGTTTATTTGACACTTCTGTTATTGGCAGCACTTCACAGGAAATGAAAGGTGGGTGCTTATCTCGAGGGACTGTTTGAGATTCATTACCGCTGGGAATGAAAATAATTCCCAGCATTGCAATAAAACAAGACTTGTTTTTAAAATAAGCATGTGCATAATTACGGTCTTGGAAGCCTTGGTCAGAACACGCAGCTCAAATGCATGCAAACACGAGTAGATAAATAGGTACCACTATGTAATAGCACTCTGTGACCTCATGCTGGCCACATGACCACAGAATTGTCTTCGGCTCAGTGGCCTTCAAACGGAGATGAGCACCGGCTCCTAGAGTCGGCAACGATTAGCGGAGTATAATCTGCAAGAACTCCTTTACTTTTTACTCTTTGTGGTGTGGGGGGAAGATCTGCAGTCATCCAAACTAACTCACCTTTTTCTTCCAGTTCCCTCTGACTCCTGGGACTGTCTCGTACAGTCGGTTGATGGCTTCCCTGCAAGAAAGATAGTTTCAGGATGGATATTAATCAGGGGTGGGATCCAACCGGTGTAACTACCGGTTTAGTGATTTACATTTTTCACGGTGCTGTGTCTGCTGCTCTTCAGAGCTACTAGTTCTACAGAGCCGGACAGAACCGGTAGAATCCCACCCCTGATATTAATTCCAGAAAACAAAATTAATCTCCGTCAGGTGTCGCTTTAGCTAGTTTTAGTCATCTAGCCAAAGCCTGGGTTCGTTCGCTTGGGGAATGGCCTATTTTGCAAACGACTCAAATTGTAAAATTACTCCAAAAGATCACAAAAACATGATCCAATCTGAAAGCTCACCAGTCTTTGGATATGCTACAAATAGATCTCTTATTATTTTCACTGATCTAATTAACCATGTTACATTGCATGGCAGTGTCAGGATGTCAGTAATGTCCATCTGCTTTTCTCAGGCAAAGATGCTGGGGCTGTCTGGCTGTAATCCCTAATTAAAAAAACAACAACTTGACAAATTACACGTACTCCTCAATTTACAACCATTTGTTTAGTGAGCGTTCAAAGCTACAACAGCACTGAATAAAGTGACTTGTGACTGTTTTTTTCACACCTGCAGCATCCCTGTGGTCAAAATTCAGTCTCTTGGCAACTGACTCACATTTATGACGGTTGCAGTGTCCCGGGGTCATGTAATCCACTTTTGTGACCTTCTGACAAGCAAAGTCAATGGGGAAGCCAAAGTCACTTAACAACCGGGCTACTAAGTTAATAACTGTAATGATTCACTTAACAACTGTGGTAAGAAAAGTTGCACAATGGGCCAAAACTCATTTAACAAATATTTCACCTAACAACATGAATTTTGCGCTCACTTGTGGTCATAAATAGAGGACTACTTGTATCTTCCCATAAAAAAAAAAGATATCTTATGAAAAAGAGGTTAGAACCGTGGTAGCCAGGGGTGGGATTCTACCAGTTCGCCCCTATTCTCTAGAACCGGTTGTTAACATTCTAAGCAGTTCGCAGAACCGGTTGTTAGAAGAAATTACTGGCCTAATCCTGTAAGGAAGGCAGGAAGGAAACATTCTGGTGTTGCTTACAGAAACTGCCTCTCCGTTAACACTTATTACATTCTTGGCGGGACTAGAACATCTGGAACATCTCTGGAGTTTTTTTTCCCCTCCTTTGCTGGTACTTTGCTTGTGTGGAGGGACCATTCAAAGTTACAATGGCACTGAAAAAAGTGACTTATGACCATTTTTCACACTTACGACTGTTGCAGCATCCCCACAGTCATGAGAGGCCAGGCGAGGAGATGCGTGCCTCGATGTGGGTGATATTGAGTTGGCCACGCCCAGCCAATAACATGACCACCAAGCCATGTCCACCCAGTCACATGACCACCAAGCCATGTCCACCAACTAAGCCACGCCCACAGAACTGGTTGTTAAAATATTTGAATCCCATCCCTGGTGGTAGGGCAGTGGTTAGAGTGTAGTACTGCAAGCTACTTCTGCTGACTGCTGGTTGCCAGCATCAGAGCATTAGTATTTTGTATATTATTATTAACATGCTCTGATGCTAAGGAGTTCTATTCCCCCTCACCACCTGAAAAGAAATCTGTTCCAAATGCAAAACACAAGCAGAGGAGAGGAGTTTCAGTTTCACAGTATCAAGCAGCTTTACTACAGAACAGTTGAGCTAAGCCACACCCAGGCTCCTTGCTGTCTCCTTGCTCACATAGCAAATACTGTTTCAGTTTCCAAACAGCCCTCAACTCTCTCACACAGTGACAGGACGCTAGCCAGATGAATACCCATGGATGCTGGTAGGCAGAGGCAGAATTTTTTCTCCTTATTTTCCTCCCCCAAAACTAAGCCCGACCACATAGTTTCATAGTGAAGCATGGGTATCGAGCTAGTTATATTATATTACAGGTAGTCCTTGACTTTCGACAACAATTGAGCCCAAAATTTCTGTTGCTAAGCGAGTTTAGACCCATTGGACCAGTTTTGCCCCATTCTTGCTGCATCTCTTAAGCGAATCACTGCGGTTGTTCAGTTAGTAACACGGTTGTTAAGTGAATCTGGATTCCCCATTGACTTTGCTTGTCAGAAGGTCCCAAAAGGGGATCGCATGACCGCCGCCCCCCCCCACAAGGACACTGCAACCGTCACAAATATGAGTCTGTTGGCCAAGCGTCTGAATTTTGATCACATGGCCATGGGGATGCGGCAATGGTCGTAAGTGTGAAAAACGGTCATAAATCACTTTTTTTAGTGCAGTTGTAACTTCGAACGGTCACTAAACGAACTGTTGTAAGTTGAGGACAATCTCTACTGGTAGAAGCAATCAAGGCTGGTAAGACAAGGGACCACATCTAAGCAGCCAGCAAATTCTATTCTTTTATGTACCAATGAGGTTACTTAACTGTTGGTAACTGTCTGTAGAGATTCTCGGTCCTCCACGTTGTGGTTGTCCCAAAGTTGCTTTCTTCCAAGAGGCAACTGGACTTACTGGGGTTTTTTTTGAAGACCTTTGGCTTCTCATCCAAGAAGCTTCCTCAGTCTGAAGAGGCTCTGAAGTAGCTGTGATGACCCAGGGTGTGGCACAAAAGCAACAAAGTCACAAAAATAGGTCAAGTCCCTTTAATTCCTCCAACTTGGCCTCCAATGTCCAATTATCATCGGTTGGAGAAAAACCTCTCCGAAGAACAGCTTTTAAAGGGAAGAAATTCCATCCAAACTCAAAGTACATATACATTATAAATAAAAACCAACACAAACCACACTGCAGCAATTAACGAGACAGGGCAGGAAAAGGGATTGAAGACGTCAAAAGATGACGAAATACACACACTTGGGAGGACGCCAGAACTCAGATGAGACTTGACAAAACCAGAATAATTTCACACTTTGCTTCCAGCAACTTTGCCATGCGCAGTTTGCCCTTTTAAACAGTCTTCCCAGCTGCAGCCCATGAAGGGGATCAGGGCCCTTTCCTCCCCCGTAAATCACACAACTCACGTTGCTCCCTTATCCGTTCCTCCCTGCGTGCCCTAGGATGAAGAGGGGATGGGCCTGGGTCTTCCTCTGAATGCCCAGCCGGCCTGTGCCCTTCCACAGTTTCCTCCACAGCCACCGGAGCCACACTCCCACTCCCTGTCAGCTGTTCCACCTCTCCCTCGGAATCAGATTCCAACAGGGGCATGACGGTAGCTTTAGTTTACTTTATTGTCATTGTACCTCGTACAATGAAATTAAACACCATCTTCAGTGTACATTATGACTATGAAAATAAACACAAACACACATCCTTCACACATTCTATACAACTGAATTGAAAACCCCTGATACTGCATTAATATTGCACTATACAGTAGAATTCAGCAGAGCTCCTGCCCTGGGATAGAAGCTGTTTTTCAGCCTATTTGTCCTTGTTTTTATTGCCCTGTACCGTCTGCCAGATGGTAACAGTTAAAAAAAAAAGGGGGGGGGGTGCCCAGGATGAGATGGATCTTTGAGAATGTTTTAAACTTTCTTAAGGCAGCAGGAGCTATAAAGCTCTTCCAAGGAGCGGAGAGGGAAACCAATGACGTTAAACCTTCTTAGAAGAGAAACGAAACATCTTCAAAGAAAAACCAGAAAGTCCAGTTGCCTCTTGGAAAAAAACAACAACTTTGAGACTAACCTGGTAATGAAACATCTGCAGGAAGAGAACAAGATCAGAGAAGACCAAGAGGAGAAAGAAGAAGTTAGACAAGGGTTACCTACTTGGTGACTTGTGTCCGGGTGTTAAAATCCAAAGATCTCATTGATCGCAGGATCTCAATACAACCCATATACTGGGGAAAGAAAGAAGATACAAAATAAATCCACAGGCATTCATTTCGTTGGGATGGC